AACTGAGCCTGAAATCCCCTAATAAGTTTACTTTATCCCATAAGCAAATGTAAACCATTAAAGGTTTTTCACGGTTATGGATGTCTTGAGATCATTAATGATGATTGTTCATTTATAGGATGAAGAAGAAAATAAATTCAGAAATATTAGCTGGAGGGTGAAGTAGTATGGTCAAAATCTCAAAGAAAACACGCAGTCAAGAGTATTTGTATAGTGTTAACCTTGGGAAAGAGAATATTTTTTCTTTGCAATATGCAAAGCAAGGCTGGCAGGTTAGCTCAGATGGTTAGAGTGTGGTGCTGATATCACCAACATCAAGGGTTTGGATGACCACACCGACTAGCCGCCAAAAAAAAAAAAAAAAGGAAATATGCAAAGCAGAGAAAGTATAGGTGAAGTCACTAAGAACAGTTGAAAAAGAAAGACCATTTTTCTATGAAGATGGGAATAGGCTGTAATTAGATGTTAAATACAATGAGAAAATTTTACTGTGGTGTGCAGATCAACAAGAAGTCAATAAGAAGACTATTAAACAGTAATGAATATCCAATTAAAGTTAGACAAAATTAAAATTTTGGTAGATACATCCACCTTGCTTTTGTGGCCTCTAACAGTATTAGAAGCAGAAGAAACCATACAAAGAGGGCCCTGGGGAATAGGGACCCAAATGATACAGCACAAAATGTCCAGTGACAAGAAATTCTAAGGATGACAGCAAAAGCAACATTGAAGAGGCAGAACATACGGTCTACACTGGGGAATGAGATAAGCAAAACTAGAAAGGTACCAAATAGCTATGAAAAATGAGAAGTCGAGCTCAGACCAAAATGAAAGAAGACAGGTTCAGAAGAAGTAAAATGGTAGAGCAGGATGCAGGTAAGAAAACTGTTGTCAAAGAGAAAACACTTTTTGACTTAATATTTTGGAGGTTGTGCAGCTCTTAGTAATGACAAGGCTAATGCAGTGCAGTTTAATGGCTAAAGAAGAGATAAAGTTCAATGGAAAACAAGGATATGTAGAAACAATGAGGTCAAGCGTTAGATTGGAAAGGAGTGCTATGTAATAGATGCTTCCTCATCTATAAACTGGAGACAAAAATACATATTTTGTAATATTTTTGTAAGAAATCAAAATAATTAAAAAAGAACCTAGCACAGCAGTAGATACTAGGATATACTTAAAAAGTAGGTTGCTGCCATTACTGAATCTCCTCTCCCACACCTTTTCAAAAGACAGTTCCATAAGTGTTCAACCCATAGTGCCTAATAGGTAGCATATTATACATCTCAAAGTATCTAGTAAACAGTAATGGAAATGCAATCTATAAGTCAACTGTTTGTTCAGTGATTCCTTCAATTATTTCTTCACTTAACTAACATTTTCTGAGTACCATTTGAATGCCAGGCACTGGGAGAGGGAATGGTAGGAGTAGTTATATTAGTAATGGCAACTAACATTTATCAGGTTCTTATTAATCATTTTAAAAATGAAAACACTGGATCTAAAAGACAGTAAGTTGAATGCTAATGATTAAATGTAAGTGGTGACACTGGGATACCAACCCAGACAAGTGAACATTTAATTCCTATTGCTAAATGTCCTATCCTCTCCATGCATTAAGTTTAGGAAAAATACATAAAGAACTATTACATGTATTTTAAATATTAAAGCTATTAGAAGTCTAAGACTTCTCAAAGTTATCTTTTTCTATCTATTACAGATGTTCCTTGACTTACAATGAGGTTCATCCTGATAAACCCATAAGATGAAAATACTGTAAGTCAAAAATGCATTTAATACACCCATAAACCCTTTGTAAAGTCAAAAAATCTTAAGTTGAGCTGTCATAAATTGGAGACTGTCTTATAGTCCCAAAGACATGAAAACTCTTCTCAGCAGAAGCTCAAAAATCCAAAATTGGATCAAATTACTACCTGACCTTAAGGAGTCTGCATCCTAACTGGGGAGGTGGGAATTATATATACAGTTAGCCCTCCATATCCGTGGATTCTGTATCCATGGGTTCCATATGCATGGGTTCAACCAACTGCGGATTGAAAATATTTTTTAATAAATTGCATCTGTCGGGCCGGCCCGGTGGTGCACTGGAGAAGTGCACCGCTTAGGAGCGCGGCGGCGCTCCTGCCGAGGGTTCGGATCCCATGTGGAGACCAGTTCCCGCTCGCTGGCTGAGCGCGGTGCGGGCGCAACACCGAGGGTTGCGATCTTGTTA